TGAAACTACAAAAAGTATGCAGAGAAACAACGGTGCCTCTGTCATATCACCAGCTGTAAAGATCGTATTTACACTATTTACTTGTCCATATGGAGCCAGAATAATTACAATGGTTCACGATTTCGACTCTGAGTAATACAATATGTATGCATCGAAAAGACGATCCATGAGCCCATGAAATAGCAGGGAATCAGTAGTACCTTGGACGTGGGGAGGCATAACCTCTACCACGTGGCATATTAGAAGGAAATTGATATGCAGGTCTTGGAGGTGGGGTTCCATACGGTGGACCTGAATGTAGGCACATAATTAGGAAATGGTCGATAAGCACCCTCCCAAAGAAATGAAGATACGGAGAAGGAAGAACAAATTGGGTTCTATGAGTATCTGAATGTAAATACCCACTTACATGCAAAGCGGTAAGCTTTTTATTTTTTGATGTTCTTGTTGGAAAATATCACATGCAAAAGGAGGGGGAAATCGATTAAAGAACTAACCAGTGGGAGGGAAGGAATAAGCTACACCAGTGTATTCCCTTGGGGAGAGTTCACCCATTTGACGACTATCCCGGAAATGTCCACCAATGCTGTAAGGATCACTCCCTGGATAGCGGTGAAGCGGATGGCTACTTGGACCAGGGTACCTGGTTTCACCCATTAAACTCTCGTATGGTCTGTGAAGGGTAACAAACCTAGGTGAAGGAGAGTACATATTTTCTTGATGTACTTCAGAAATAAACCTTGGATTTCCATATTGTCTAGCATCTGTTGTACCACGTAGACCTGAAAAAAGAAAGAATGTTATAGATGAATCTAAACATCAGAATAAACTCAAGATGCAGCCACCGTGACCAACACGCTTAATCTAATGATCCGATTTCATATTGCATATGGGTAAACATGGAAAGATGTGCAAATTGCACGAAGTATTTGGTATCCATATCATATCTCATTTGTATAACATAAGAGATCACGGAAAATGCAGATTGCACGTCTCTGTATGTTTTACTGAGAATAGAAAACTTGTGAAAAAAAATATTCACTCTACAGGACAAAGTAGAAGAAATATTTAACAGATAAACAGGAAACTTCAAATAAACTGGTTGGATTACATGTGACAAAAGATCTCTGGAAGGTGACAAGAATAAGGGCTAAACTATAATTATAACGACCATCAAGTCAAATGGATGCATGGTCAGTGAAACAAAAAACGTACAGCCACTGTTTTAATCAGAGAGGCCCGACAAGAAGTGAAAGGCACCTTGATTTTGAGATGAAGGTAAAACATGAGGAGGAGCAGTAATAGCTTTAGAAAATGACGTTAAGTTGTCACGTGATTCCGATGTTAGAGCACGTTTCATCCCATCCAAATACCTTTGAGACTCTGCACGATCAAGTTCTACAAATATAACCTAACAAAAAGAGGACATAATTATGATGTCTATATCATTACACTTACGCACAGACTCTTAATAGCTACGTATGGTGTAATTACCTCATCAAAAAATTCTTCCGAACCAGGCATGTTCTTGCTAGTGGGCAGGATAAAATTCGCTGCATAATGATAGTAATCCCAACGGTAAGCAACAAAAACTACAGTGATTATACGATTTGCAACAACAAATGTTTTCAAGCAGCTATATGGAGAAACTTCAATAGGTACAAAGAGAAAAAGAATTTAACAGACCTAACATTTCATTCACTGCATCAGCTGGCACTTCTTTCCCCATTTCACTAAATCTTTCGGCCGATCGACGCTGCAACTCCTTGGGCCTTGGGAATACCACAACAGCAATCTGAAAACCAGAATGAGAGCAAAGAAATTAATGATAATAATTAAAAGGTTACTGAAACCTAAATGATCCAAAAGACTTACAATACATACTTTCTGGAAGTACACAAATGGTTTCAGTTTCCGTTTCCGTGCATTTTTGTAAACATTTGTTTGATCAATTATGTAATTGCGAGGTATGGTAGCTGCTCTAGACAGAAGTATGTTGAAAATCCTAGTTGCTTGGTCCATCAAACAATCAAAGCGTTGTCCATAATTATGCTTTCGCAATAGACCTGGTAACTGTTAGAAAAATTCAACTCCTGTCAGTCTGTCATGTAACATAATAATGAACCCCAAAATGATGCTAGGCAAACCAAGTGGGGATAGAAATCAAGAAGCAACCCCATATAGTAGCTAGCGGGTCACGCAACATGAAGAAATAACTAACAGTTCAATACCTTCATTTGATCCAGAATTAGATTAGTCCCAAGCAAAATATAGCGTTTCTCAGGATGTTGATCTGCCCATTTCTTGGCCCATGTACTTTTTCCAGAAGCCGGTAGACCCACCATCATCATGACTTCACAATCTCTTACATTATTAAAAGTAGGCCCTATCAATGCATTGTTATCATCCAAAGCAGTGGCCCACGGTTTAAAGCCTTCTTCTGGAACAAGCCCCTCTTCAACACTGAATTGTAACTGGACCTCAACATTCTTCAACAATACATGAGGGAAAAGTGCTGATTCCCATCGAAGCTTCCCCAATGGAGAATCCACTACTCCAAGGCCTCTTGGACCGGCATCAAATTGTATTGCAGTACCCAAGCATTTGCCATTTTTGGAAAATCCAATAGAGGCCAGAGGATTGCTTTCAAGATTTACAGCACAAACAATGGTATCACCAATCCCAAACTTTTCACCATAGTCAGAAAATTTTCCAGCATTTGAGAACTTTCCTGTGCCACCAAATCCAAAACTTTGTTTAGTTTCTCCAAGATTACCCACTGGACTGTCCCCTATGGAAATGCCGAGACGACAAAGATGCTGCTGATCTGTAGCAGTATCATTCATTTCAACTGGCTGTAAAGAGATAATCTTGCAACCAAAACAATATTTTCCACCAGTAATACCAACGGTGGCCCGAGCACCGGACCAGCAGTAAGCAAAACCTTGCTCATAAAGAGCTGATCCTCGAAGACCATCACTTTCAATCTTGAAATCTGGAAACAAAAATAGCAACGCAAGTCAATATAAACCGTATTTTTCAATAAGAACATGGAAACGAATTATAAAATGTCACTTCAATAATTTGCTTCTTTTGTCAAGAAATAAATGTCTTGATGGATGTGTACAAAACCGTTAGCTACCAAATGGGGAATATTTTTCAAATCACAGGTAAAAATCTTAATATCTGTTAACTTCAGTAAGAATAACTCTTTTATTTGAAGTTTTCTTTCTACCTGAAGGACATGAGCTTTGCACTATGACCCACTAAAATTTATTTCCACAAGGAAGACGAAGGATACACGCTATAAAAATTTCATAACCAGGTACCATGAAAGGAAGCAATGTAAAGAGAAAAGGAGAAAGAACTAATCCTATCATAGTTTGATAAAGTAACTACCACATTTTACAAGTCAAACTCTACTACCCGAAAACCTGCATGGGACAACTCTTCTCCTCAACCAAGTGGTGGAGCCAACAAATTTCTCGGATAGGGACAATTTTAACCATCTAAATTTTATACCCATGATCTTTCCGTTGTAACAATTTGGGAGGTACCCTCCTTCCATCTTGGCTCCGTTCACGCTTCAACCTAACACATTAATTTAGGATAGCACCTGCCCTCCATGTGTAAAAACAAGAAAAACATAATACTATTTTTCGTTTTTTCCCTCCCTTAAACAGTTTCATAAATTTTTCTACCGAACAAGTTTTCTACGTACAACAATAGATGTTTTCCTAGAAATCATCGTTCAAAAATTTTCCCAAGGCTATGCCCAGTTCAGACAATGGAGAGTGGAGCAGGAAACCACATAAGAGAAGAGTGCCTAGAAATTCTTCAAAACTTGTAATCTCCATGTTAATTTAATAATAATCAAACTAAAGGGCAAGCATGCATTTTAAGCTTAGGTCCTAAACCAATAAATAGAAGCTAATTATTATTCAAGTGACCAGAAAACACACTCAAATTATAAATGTATGCAATTTATATAAACCACGAAATGTGAGACTCGAGCAAACGGGAGGGGAAGAGATGAGAAGGAGATCCAACCAGTTTAATTGGGTCTTGCATCCAACGGTACGATTTCAATACAAAATAATATAGGATAAATACAACAAGAAAGAAAAGACAGCCTTCAAGACAGAAAAGAAATACCCAAGTCGCAGTCGGCTGGGTTGAGCACCACTGGATGCTGCCCCTTCACCTCAGAAGCATCTGAAACACAGGAAAATTTGGCTTTCTTCGCCTCATGATCGTCCACTTGGTGACGGCGTTTAATGGACGCCATTGCCCAACTTCAGAGCGGTAAGAGGCCAAACTGGAGTTACCGCGCGAAGGATATCACCCGCGCTCTCGTCGCTGCTTGTGAACCTGTTCTTAATTTTTATAAGAATTGCTTGATGTGGGTTGGATCATTCCAACCCGACTTAAGAAATCGGGCGCCCCTTTAACCCGATCCGCATATAATGGTTAAAATATCATGTTCCACATTAATATTAGGGTTCAATGGATATTTCTAATATTCCTTATTAATACCATAAATATATATTTTAAAAATCATCCATTAGTCCCCCATGTAAATATCAATACTAAGATTGGAAAGTGAACATAGCTTAATTATTAACTTTAAATCAAATGATATACCTGTTAGAACTAAAACCTCTATACTATTACAATAATATTAATTAATTAATTTTCATTCGTGGTCGCTGTAACAAATAATAAATAAATAAAAACAGCATATGAAAAATAAAATATTATATAACTTAATGACATGTTAAATTATAAATACACGTAATTTGCACAAAATCTTACCGAAAAATAATATCATCACAACTCAACGGGTCAAAATATTCTTAATTCACTTTTACAAAAGATATTGAAAATTAGTTTCTAGACACATAAAATATAGCTACAAAACTATCAAAAACTTGGGTGTTGAATTGAGTTTTAGCTTTTGCCAATTAGAACATAGAACACTCTTCCTTGGATGTTCCAAATGTAGAACACAAATATGTCCTCTTCCCAAAATCAGACAGCTCCAGACACACAATGTTTTACGATAACTACGCAGCTGTACAGTTCGCTCGCAAAATTGCAAGAGATTGTTCATGCAAGCTACAAATACAATTAACAAAAACATAATTCAGACCTTGGCTTGGATTCTGGCTGTCAATTGGTGTTGATAGCATCACCATCTCCCGACGAAGCAAAATTAAAACTCCAAACAGAAGCACAGTTTTCATCACCTAAATAAAGCCCAGGAAACATATTATATTAGCATCTGAGAACCAATATAATTTTACCTGCCAGCCAGAATCCCAAGATAATTAAAGGGTTGATCATGGTTTTATAAGAAATACAACTCTATTAGTATCAGATTTTTTGGGAAAATCAAAAGCAAAACCACGAGGGCTTATGCTCAAAGTGGACAATATCATACCATTGTAGAGAGTCGTGATTCCTAACGGACAATAATAACAATGACGTGCAACAACCATTTACAAAAACAAAAGAATAGATGATTGCACTGAGGTTAGAGAGAATACCACGCAAACATAAATCCGCGTCATCATTGTCAGGTCCTATAAATCTTCGGTGACCTGATGATGTGACAGTCATCGGCATATATGGATGAAAAGAAAACCCATTAACTGTGTCTGCAGGGAGTACACAACGTAGTAGAAGTGAGTTAGAGCCATAAGAGTACGGTAAATATAAAACCAAGTGGTAGTTCTTGACAAAATGGAAATGCAATACCTTGTGCTGCTTGAAAACTTGTTACCCACTGCCCGGTTTGAAGATCATATACATGAACAAAACCATCCTACAGGTCAAAATGTAAACAAAACCACTCAGGTTAAGATTGATTAATTAATATCAAGCAAAATAATATAAATAAAAGCTGACAGTATACCTGACCACCTGTGCCAAGATGTTGGCCACATGGCTCAATATCAAAAAATATCCGTTGGTTGGTATGTTCAGATGATCTGTATAGTCTGATGACAAGTAGAATGACGTGATAAGGAAACCTATATTTCATCATTCACAGTAACCAGAAAACTTGAATGGGTTGCCATCACACGTTTCTTTAACAAACTAAAGAAGAAAAATTGTTGGAAAATACATAAAAAAAAAAAAAAAACAAACAAAACAAACAGCATTTTAAAGCTGCAGGCCTTTGTTGAACCAGTGGAATTTTCAATTTTTAGGTATACTAACTTCATTGATTGTTCCCTATAGCGGTGATATTACTTATAAGGCATAGCCATTGCAGTTTTTAAAGAAGCACTTACTTGTATACAACATCTACAGATTTGCGAATATCCCAGCAAAGTATATATGGGTCCTTCAAGAAATTTCAGAATAAGGTATATTAGAATACAGGTCACAATGCAAGAAAGAACATCACATAAGAACTTGTACCTTTCGACCTCCAGTGTATAGATAATTTCCATCTCTTGAAAATTGGATCTGGACAAAACATAACATCATCTTGATAGGAATATAAATTAAGACCACGTTAAAAAGTAACAACAAAAACCTCCCCTACATGTGTAATTCCACCTTCTTGCCCATGTAGAACATATAACAACTCCATATTGTCTTCCCTATAGATTCCAGTGGTCTGGCTATAAGAGCCCAAGGCAAGCATTCCATTATGTGTAGGAGAAAAGGCAATTGCCGATATGATGCCTGATCGTAACAAATGGTCAATAGATATGCCCTGGTCTATCAATCAGCAAACATTCTCTAAGGGTACACTAAGTCTAAGATAACAACCTGTTTGACCTTCTTTATTTCCTTTAAGCGTTGAGTGTTGCCCAAAATCTCTACCAGGTCGATGCAAATCAAATATTCTCACCAATTTGTTGTATCCAGCAAATATTCTAAACCAAAAAAAGAAAAAGAAAAAGATGGTTTCAATTGGTAACCAAAAGAAAATTACATAAAGTATTTCAAAGCAAATATGGAGCATAAAGATTAAACATAAATAAGATCAAGAACTCAAAATAGCATTTTTGAAAAACAGAAGAGGAGGCATCTCAATCAGGCATATCATAAGCTTGTAGGGATGATATCTATCTTCGATAATGAAGTTATAAAGACACCTTATAGGCGATCTTAGACATAACACGATGTAAAATAAAAGGGACACGGTTCATGCATGATGACATCATGAGATACCCGAACATCCATTCACGAGCCCTTTACAGATACAGTGGATAAGGGAAGCAAAGATAAAACCTACTTGGTTCCAGCTGGATTAAATGAAATTGAAAAGGCAGCAGTAATTTCATCCATGGCATCATAAGCTCGATATGTACAGCGCAGCTGCAATACATGGTTAAAAAAAAAATCTTCAAATAATGGGACCAACTTCTTCAATCACTAATTTTAGCATCAGGAATTCTGAAACTACCATCGATGTCATGCAAGAATTTAAGTTTAACTCCTAACAAGAAAAACAGGAAAAAACGAACGTTCATAATGAGCATTTCTAAGGTGATGTTGGGCTACCCAATAAGCTAACGGAAGATGTATGGCAGCCCCAGCCACCCACACCTGGCAAGCAACCATGGCAATGCCTTTAATAATTAATAGGCAGTCTCCTTAATTATCTGAGGTTTTGCAATACAGATGAAAAGCATAATCTTGAACTTTTTTTCCTAAAGACTTGAGTAAGATGTCTTCTTGCGTTTACAATCTCTTGAAAATAAGGGAGATCATCAAAACAAAAACATATGATACAGCTTTTCAAGTGCATTAGACAAACATACAATTTTTCTTACCGCTATAATGACACTCTAAGCTAACATGTTCACATAATTCACATCATGTCATGCATATTTTCAAACACATATCTCAACTCACTCAAATAACACCTTTTGTTCGTCTTATGCACTCCAAGCAAGCATAAAAAAATTGTCATCTGCGCTTACATTTGCAAGTCATAAATGCTAGTCGTAATATGATGAACCCACACTACATGTCAAAAGGCTACTTGAAACGGTAATCACAATCCGACTCCAATACAATGGATTCATATTTCGAAGAAAGTACTCGTAAAGCCTAAGTACCTCGCCTGATGCAGCATCCCAGAGATGAATTGGATGGTCGCGTGTGGTACTTGCAAAGACGCATGTAACAGGGTCTAAGGTGTCAACCAACTTTCACATCAGAATTCAATTAACAGTGTCGTCAATGATTATACAAATTGAAACAGAAAGGAAAACCTTTCAGCTCCAAGGTAGAAAAAACCATGAATAAGTTGTCTAAGGAGCACCTGAAGCAGACATGTAAGGATACCAACAGAAGTCATAGACCGACTCCCCTTCACCCACAACAAGGTTGGAAGTAAAAGAATCTGCAGACAGTGTAGCACATGAATGACATCATATTAAAAAAGTAGATATCAAATTCCTCAAGAAGTAGGCCATATTCCCTCTATTCACGCGCACACTTACCCTCTTCACCAGCTACATTGCCGGAAACATCGTTGCCGTAATCTGGCCTGCATAACGGTGTAGTTTAGCAAGTATTCTATTCTATTCCTCATAAAAAAAAATTTTAAAAATGTAACATATCTAAAAGATATTCTTAAATTCCACTTTAAACACGTCTTTCAACATTCATGTACGGGTTGATTACTGAAGACTTACAGGTTGAATCTGCGAAGACTATTGTCCTCAGAGCTCGTAAGAAAACACGACCCATCAGGTGACCTGTAACAAGTTATAACTCGAAGATTTCACAAGAAAGAAGAGTAAAGAAGAACAATGAAGACGGAGAACACAGACAATATACCATTTTACGCCCTTGAAGAAGTTGTTAGGGTTCGGACCAGTCCGAAATTGGTTGTAGAAATGGTAAGTCCTCTGTGGAGGGGAATTGAATTGAATCACTGGCCACGAGTATGATTGCTGCTCTTCGTTCATGGCAGCTTCCGCGGCTTCCCCAGCCGGATTGGACTTGTTTTCTTCCTCCTCCACTAACATCGATTCTGTTTCAGACATTGCAAGAACTCCTAAGCAGCAATCCGTATCCAGTGTTCCTTCGTTCCGCCACTGCCGCCAAAACAACGATTTAGAAAAAACTCGATCAAAACTAAACCACTTGGGCCCATTTTGTGGGCTTTCGACAATTTCCCAGAAGAAAGTTTGTGACCGAATTGAAATTCGTACTAGAAAATCATGCTAAATATACCCAATGATCGCTCTATTTCAGGAAACTCCCATTTTATTTTTCAATCTTTTCAACTTCTCAATGCAAGTTAAATTTTGTCCAAATTTGTTAACAAACAAATAGCTTTATGTATCTTACGATTACTATTATTATCGAAAAAATATATTTGTTAGATTATCTATACTATAAATAATCGTTTACATAATCAATCATTAAAATACACATTTTTCAAGGTTTCGAAAGTAGGTCATATAATAGACCACGAGTGATATGTAGATACAACAAAGATCAAAAGATGCCAACATTATTATCGATCGTTACTCTCGAGATCAGAGGATCAAATACACACTTTAAGATTGATTGTACTATAAAAAAAACAACAAAATGTAAATGAGAATTCATCCTCCATGATCATAGAATTGTGAAGTAAATGAGAAACAATAGGCCACAAAAGTTTGCAATAGAACGTATAGAACTCCTAAAGCATGCCATCTCTAAGCATCATGCTGCTTCAGGTATTGGTCGTCTCTATACTTCGAGTACAGTGGAAGATCAAGAGCTCTTTCTGCAATTCTTCCATCCTCGTGAATCTTAGCTATTAGGCTCTCAAGGTTTGGAAAGTTGGCCTGATTAGTGATAATATTGATGAGATTTTAATGGAGTGACGAGCATGGAAACCCAGAAAATAGAAGAACAAGCTAGTTGTTTTGCAAGTATTACCTCTGGCCGAATGTATCCGACTAAAACAAGTCTCAAGTCCTCACCGTAGAAATCTTCATGGAACTCGTGGAGTAGCCATGGTTCCTGGATCATAATATACAAATATTAACCAGAAAGTGAATGCAGCAACCAAAATTCATATTTCTGAACTATTCTACACTTACAATAGTCTTTTCTGCATTGTCGAAAAATGGATTCCATCCGATGCTTGCGACCATTTTAAAGATGCCTCTTGTTGATAAACCAGCCCAACCGAAATAAACGCCTGATGGATGTTCTAAAAGGACATCTGAATATCCTTCTGTAGATAAATTCGCTGGGAAAAGTAAAGCAAATTTGTAAGTATTATAATGGAAAGAGATCTGCTTCAGATGTCGAGATTAAGAACAGTTCAAAACATTGAGTTTGCCAAACCAGAATTTAGACTATGACATTAACCAGGAATCAGATAACATAAAGGTTTAAACGACCAGCCTAATGGAAATAAGAACGGTCTATTGAATTCGCACGCACCTGTAGGAATCCCAAGAACTTTCGAGCCACGCCCATATCCCTTGACGACGGGACCTCCAATGTACATAGGATGAATTGGTAAGGTGTTCTCTACCCCTATAGTTTAAAGTCAAGAACTGTGACAAATAGATTTATGCATAAAGAAACTCAACTGGAAAGGTTGAGAATTGAGGTAGTTAAAAAGGGTTGTGGTATGTACAATCTTCAAATGGAGGTAGGCCCCATTTCTCAGGCTGAAAGTCGAGCAGTGAATTGATCACCTCATCCGCTGAAGAGTAGAGATTAGTTGTCTTCGGAAGGGATGGTACAGCAACCACCTTCATCCCAGCAGCCTTACCAGCTGCAACACCTGGACTGGTATGCATGTTGAGTAAGAAGAGTACGATGAATCAAAACGTTCATTTGATAACCATTTAGTTGTTTTTATTTTTTATTCTTGAAAATTAAAGTTCAAATACAGATACTTACACGGAATCCTCAATTACGAGGCACCTCGAGGGTTCGAGATTTAACCTTTTTGCTGCTTCAAGGAATCTATATCAATGAACGTATTGTTAGAACGCATAATTGGATTACTTGAAAAGAAAATACTTCACAAATTTATGAAGAGCAATCGGCCAATGGAAACAGTGAGGCATTGTTAGTTCTTAATGGTTTACTTGCAAAAGAAAACCAAGTTAGAAAGAACCGACAGAAAATAGTTGCATTTTACATTTCAGGAGATGGTTTGGCCGTTGTAACTTCATCGCTACCGATTATCACAGAGAATGAGTTTTTCCAGCCTATACAATAATAAAATCAAGCAGCTAAATAAATAAATGGTAGCAACAACCAGAGCAAGTAAATGAATATGTTATGGTCTTTTAGAAACCATACCCGGATGAAAAGAAATTTTGGTCTCTATGTTTTCCCTACTTGAGTTTGAAGCTAATGCCATTGGCACTTTGTGAGCAGTGAAATGTTTAATCAACCGGTTTGCTCCTGGAAGTGCTTTAATGTTGCACCATCTGAAGTGGAAATTCCAAAAAGTGTTCTGTTATGGCAAGGATTATATCGTAGACGCATTGGATTTGTGCTATCAACAATCCAATAAAACAATAAAATTCTATTGTGTAATCTATCTGCCAAAGGAAAAATAAGGAAACAATAACCCCATGGAACTATCATTTGAAAGATGCAACTCAAGAACATAAAATGATCAATTATAAATTAAAAGAACCAACTGAGAGACACATAGTAACATCTGATATCAAATGCATACTGCATGGTGTGTGCAACTCACCAAGAAATCCCACTACTTGAACACTTTCAATTAATAATACCCTTTACAATACACAATCTGAAATTGAAATCTTGTACTTGGAAAAGAATGATTGCCATGATCCGAACGATGAAACGAAATAATGTTTTCCAATACAATAAAAACCAGGAAGAAATATCAAAAGTAAATTTGAAGGTCGTATAAGAAATAATTATTTGATAATGTGCATATGTTCATAACCAAAACCAAAATGACTGGAAATATCCAGTTCCAATAACTTTTTAAAAGCTAAAAACCAGTCATCCAAGATCAGCACGTTGTTGAGGTAACATAAACAACAAAATATGTAAGGTGCCAGCAGTTTATAATTATATTACAAATTTCCACAGGTTGCAACCTAGAAAAATCGAGATGAATTTGGATTGAGCATGCAGTGTCTTCGATTCTTAACTACCATAGTATATCAATCACTATAACAACTTGCAACATGTTGTAAAAACCAAGAAATTTCACTATTGACCTTAAACGGTTGAAAAGCTTATAACCAAGATGATACGGTTACATGCATTTAAGCGTAGATAGGAAAGAACACTAATTGTTTACCTATCCGCAAACATTGGGGAAACTTGTGACATCAATTCAGTTGATGTGCAAGGAAGCTCGTAATCTTCAATAATAACAGCTGCAGACTCGTATGGCGTCTTCCCAGTAACTCTTAGGGCTTCCCTTCCATCCCATTGCTTTCCATACTTGTCCAAAAAGGATTTTAGAACGTCACTCACTATGCCATCTATTAAGATATGGTGGTAGGGAAGAAGAAATTCAGCAGTGGAGAAAAAGGGAAATACAAGGACGCTAAAAGTTAACTAAGTTGGTTGATATATTTACAATAGAATACCAAGTCACAATAGGGGATCCAGGTTTGGGAACTGACAGATAGATATCACATTTTTCACAAACAGAGAAAATCAATTTCAATGCCTCAAAATAAAGTTGCTGAGAGAAACAAGACTATAAATGTTGATCTACATTGTGAAGAACACAATAGGACCTGTATGTAGAAGTGTGCCATCCAGATCAAGAATAACGCCAGATACAACCATTTTCAGAGGATTTGAGATGGAGCTCCTAATCATTACACGTTGGTCTCATGAACATAGATCATATTCCCATGGGTGAACCATGCCTAAATAGAAAGAAGATTATTTCAAATCAGTTGCCAGAATCATCATGACAGATACAAGATGACTACCGCTCTAGTTCAAATGTTGCCACAGTCACAGTCATATTAAACGTTCAAAGAGAACACATTTGGCATGCTGATATACTGAATTGCACCAAACTAGAAAAAAACGGACAATTGAAAAAAATTACCAAAAGAAAAGCACTAGCCAAAGGTTTCTGACACAAGCAACCATACGCGAGAAAGATGACATTTTAAAAAAATTGTAAATTAGAATTTGCTCAACCCATGTTTTTTTAAGGAGAGAAAGAAGCATTCTTTATAATGTTGTGAAAACCTCTCCCTAGCCGACGCATTTTAGAAATCTTGAGGGGAAGCCTGAAACGAAAAGCTCAAATAGGACAATATTTGCTAGCGTAGGCTTGGGCTATACAAATGCTATCAGAGCAAGGTTCATAATTCCTAACACGGTATAAGAGTCATGTCTTTAACTTAGTCATGTTAATAAAATTCTCAAATGTTAGAACAAAAAAGTTGTGAACTTTGAAGGTGTAGTCAAAAAGCGACTCAAGTATCGAATACAGGGTGTACTTTATTCGAGGGCTCCAGAGAAAGGGGTCAAGCTTCGATTAAGGGGAGACTGTTCGAGGGCTCCATAGGCCTCGGAAGAGGTACTATAGAATACTTTGTTCAAGAAGAGGATCGTTGGTGGAGAGTCCTACATCAGCTAATTAAGGGGATAATTATGGGTTATAAGTAAGGAATACATCTTCATTGGTACAAGGCCTTTTGAAAAAACCAAAAGCAAAAGAGTTTATGTTCAAAGTCAAGAATATCATACTATACTATTGTAGACCGTAGCTAACAAGTGCTGCACCATCAGATGTATAAATCAAGCTCAGGAACCACCTCCACACCCAAAAAAGTATAAAGTACTGCGGGTAAAAGATACCCTTTCCGAGTATGAAATTGAGAAGTGCATCCCCTCCACCCCGCAGAAAGGGTTTCGAGAAATTTGCAGAATTGTGTTTCTCTGTCTCCCAAGAGTTAAGAACATAAAATGGTAGGGAAGGTGAATTGAACCAGTAGACCCACCGTACCGTGCAGAAAATGGAATCTATATCCACAGGCTTCCCGAAGTCCAAGGAAGTCCAAAAAAATATTAACAGTCAACCTAAACCCGTACGACCCAGATTATGAAACGGAATCCTCGAACTTTTAGACAGATAAGAAACAGAAGGTAGTGAAATCAAACAACAATTCGCAGATTACGTTGATCAAAAGAAATAAGGAGAATCCAGGTGCAGCGGAAATTAAAACCTGAGCCTGAGTTGGATGAGTACGACGGATCCGAAGAAGGTGAAGACTCCTGTGGTAGGGTAGAAGCAGAGCCTGCAACACACAAAACGAACCAAAAAAACAAGAGAAATCTATGAGGAATAATTGTTGTTACAATCACTGCAGCCAACGACGCGGGTGGCCAGAGTTCGATCTCCGGCTACAGCTAGTTTCTTTTTTATTAGGCTTTTTTAATATTTATAATATTCTTTTACTAAAACTTCACACTCCACACTTGTGACGAGACCTTCTTACTACTTTCGACCCCTTCGAACGGTCACGGATGGTTCCATTAGATTAAAAAAAAAACCATAATTGATTTTTTCTTTTTTCTTTTCTTTTCCTTCCATGGGCAATCATGATTCATTTTCAATAGCCTGATTTAGTTATTAATTAGTGGTTGAAATGTTGGGAAGATAGAAAGAAAAGCGACCAAGTCAAAGACATGATGAACGACAGGAAAAAAAAGTTTCAATATTTTGATGAACACAATCCGCCAAGTGGTTGATATTTCCCCCAATCATCCAAAATCTTCATTCATTCCATTTCAAATATATCTAATTTCAGCAACTCCCATTCTCAAATCTTCTTAATTTCTCTGTACCCATCTTGGGGGATTGGAGTTTTAACTCTTTTCTCTTCTTATTGGACGAAGACAATTCAGCACCACTTCGTCTAGGAAAAGAAAAGACCAGATTTTTCAACTTTTTTTTCTTAATTTTTTCTTCCCATTTCAAAAAAAAAAACCCCAAAAAAAACAAAACTCACTTGGAAGATTTGATTGTGCAAACAAAAAACCAGACAAAATGAACGACTTATTCTCGAATTCGTTCAAACAGTACACGGATCTGAAGCAACAGGCGTCTGTGGACGGCATGGAGTCTGGGAATGAGACTGTGAATTTGGACACGTTCTTCGAGGATGTCGAGAATGTTAAAGACGACATGAAACAGGTCGAGAATTTGTACAAGAAATTGCAACAGGACAATGAGGAATGCAAGATTGTCCACAATGCCAAGACGATGAAGGAGCTGAGGGGCAGAATGGAGGCCGATGTCGCCCAGGTTCTGAAGCGAGTCAAAATGATTAAAGGCAAACTCGAGGCTCTGGATCGTTCCAACGCCGCTCACCGCAGCCTCCCCGGTTGCGGCCCTGGCTCCTCCGCCGACCGAACCCGAACCTCCGTCGTCAGCGGCTTGGGGAAGAAGCTCAAAGATGTCATGGATGAGTTTCAAGGCCTCAGAGGTCGAATGAACGCCGAATACAAAGAAACCATCGAGCGCAGGTAATGAACCAAAACACATTCAAATAGATTTAGAACATAGAAATGAGAGCTTTTTTGTTATTGGGGGAGGGGACAGGTACTTCACAGTGACAGGGCAGAAAGCCGACGAAGAGACAATAGAGAATTTGATAGCAAGTGGGGAAAGCGAGAGCTTCCTCCAGAAGGCGATTCAAGAACAGGGGAGGGGTCAGATAATGGACACAATCTCAGAGATTCAGGAGCGACACGACGCTGTGAAGGAGATAGAGAAGAATTTGTTAGAGCTGCATCAAATTTTCTTGGACATGGCGGCGCTAGTGGAGGCACAAGGGCACCAGCTGAACGACATCGAGAGCCATGTCGCGCATGCGAACTCGTTCGTGAGAAGAGGAACAGAGCAGCTTCAGGAAGCCAGAGAGATACAGAAGAGCTCGAGGAAATGGACTTGCTATGCCATTATCTTGGGGGTTGTTCTTATTATCATCATCCTCTTCCCGATCTTGACTACAATTTTACCTCATTTGTTGTAGAAAGCTTCTTGCTTTGCTTTCTAAAAAAGACCCCTCCAACAAAAATTGTTTCAATTCGTTTCTGCCATTCAAATTGGCGTCTTCTGAGGATGGTTGGTTGGGACGTAGCTGTAAATGTGTGTGTTCTTAGTTGCTGGAAACAAAACAAAACAAAACAACAACAGAATGTTTGTAGAGCCAAAGATCCAATACAATTTTATCACTTTCTTTTTTATTTTCTCATTTTTAAATACTTGCATGTATGGTTGCTTACTTCTTAAGCTTCTACATTTCCCTTTTAAATTTGAACTTAAATTACAGGTTCTTGGTTGGTGAATAAAAATGTCAAATCAATATTTTAAATTTGTTTTGGGTAGTTCAAAATTTTCAAGATTTATTAGATAAAAAATTAGACTAATTAGACACAAACATTATTGAATTTATAATTTAATTCACAATTATATTTAAATTGACAAACAAAAACAATAGAAACTACACCACTAGAGATTCTTTTTTATTTAATTAAATTAAAATTTTGGGTTAGAATTTAGACCATAAAAAGTAAAAAATTTGTATGGTTTAATAAAGTTATTTATGATAACTATTATTTATCATGAGATTTAATCTAATTTTTAAAATTTGTAATTTAATATTTTTATTTTTACAAATAAAAATAAGAAGTAATATATGAACACCAATAATCCCATTGTTTGTTTGTTTTTTTTTTTTTTATTTATTTATTTAGGGAAAAAAAAAAAAACTTATACAAACCTAACTTGCTAGTATAGGACACTTCTATAATTATGATTTTTTTTTTTTTTTTTTAGGGAAAAAAAAAAAACTTATACAAACCTAACTTGCTAGTATAGGACACTTCTATAATTATGATTTTTTTTTTTTTTTTTTAGGGAAAAAAAAAAAACTTATACAAACCTAACTTGCTAGTATAGGACACTTCTATAATTATGATTTTTTTTTTTTTTTTTTAGGGAAAAAAAAAAAACTTATACAAACCTAACTTGCTAGTATAGGACACTTCTATAATTATGATTTTTTTTTTTTTTTTTTTTTTTTTTTTACAGATAAGAATAAAGTAATTAATTTCGTATATTTGGACCAATCAAAATTTACCAGAATGGAAGAAAAGCTTCCAAAAGAGACTGTAAATTCAGTTATCTCCATGATTCACCATCTCCCAGTACTTCTTCAACGACTGTTCCCTCTGCAACCTCATCTCCTCGTTGAACCTTCTTATGAAATCCTCCACTCGCCGGTTCAAATCGTCCTGATTCATCGACGGCTCTTTCCTCAGCTTCATCGCATGACCCGACACATTCACCGGCGTCAATGCCTGATTCGTCCGGTCCTTGAAAGTCTCCGATTTCTTCACCGCTGACGACTCGACCTCGCCGGCGCTAATCTGACGGTAGTGATTCTCCCACGTCTCGCACTTTTTCATGTGCCTGCTCAACGGCATTGCTCTGCCTTCCGTAATCGCCTTCCACGTGTTCTCTAACGTCTCGTGCCGTTTCGCCTTCGATATTACTCCCAGCGCCTTTCCGCCTGAAACAGATTTCACCGGTAAACAGATCGCCGATCAGAATATTTTATTGATTATCCGTTATGAGAAATTCTGGACCTAACAATCCTTATGGCTGTGTTTGGCCTTTTGCCCTTTCTTATTGTTTGTAAATTTGTGCGTGAAAACGACGCTCACATTGCACAACGCAAGTGGTAGCCGTATGGTTATAGTCAGTCTCTGTTCATTTAAGACATGCCAAAGTTGATTTTTATTTCCTAGCGTAAAAGAGACGTAAAGAAACTGACTACAGCGCCGGCTATTTCTCCCCAACGCCGACCAAAAAGTTGTTCGAGTTTGATTCTCACTGTTTATCAAATTAATTACTAGGTAACCTAATGCTTGCTTGCAGTTTTTAAAAGAAGTGCGAAATTGATATGAAATCGATTAATCATTACCTTCAGGACTCGATTTCGCCGATTTACGGTGGCCGAATCTGGAAGAAACGAGTGGTTTCTCTGGTAATCTCATCCTCTCCGGCGAGGTCCAGATCGGATTGGCCGATATGATGAATTTGTCCTCACCCTCTGCTTCAGCTTCAACAGAGCTAATCGCTTCCGGAACAATTACTTCTTCAATCGGCGATTCTATCGCATCGATAGTCTTCACTTCCGAAACAATCAGTTCATCTCTCTGTTCGTAAACCGCCGGCGATTCTACAGTAGTGAAATCCGAAACAATCTCCCTGTATCCGATATCCTCCGGAGCCTTATTTGCAGAAGGAATCTCAACGTAAGCGTCGGCTTCCTTCTGGTTGAAGCGTGAGGAGGCGACGATGGAGATGATGATGCCGTTGATGATAATGTAAATGTAAGGAGGCCTCAGGCAAGAAATCAGGGAGTTCCAAATCAGAGGCACATACAGAACGGAAAACTCAACAACGAAAGGAACGGAGACCTTCAGAGCCAGAGCCAAGGAAACAACTCCGGCCGACATCAATAGAGCCTTCAAAGAGAGCAACCACGCCATTTTCCTTCTTGTTTGGAGTCGTTATGTGATCTTCGCCGGTGAAAAGACTCAGAGTGTCCTTATTCGAAGCGCAGATGTGGTGTGGGCTTATCGTTGGGTTTGCAATTCATTTATATAGGGACGGAGTGAAGGGATACGGTTTGGAACGGAATATGAGCCGTTGGATTAGACATTGGGAATGAGCTGGGGAATGATGGACGGCTGATAATGAAGAACTAGAAAGTACGTGGAGTGTTGAATTGGGTCAAATAATCCAAGCGGTTTAAGGGTGGCCCAGAATTTAAAGAAGTGGAAACAAAATAAATAAAGAGAAGCATTGAAGTGATGGCGTCATAAAAAGAGATATTTAATTATTTATTTGTTCATTTAAAGAACCATTAAAATCCATAAAGATTAATATGAACGTGGAGCCATATGTTTAAAAATATTAAAAAGAAAGTAAATTAAATTATATGCATATTTAAATATTTGAATTCATTTAGAAATGAATTTCTTTAACTACATACATATCTAAGCAAATAGACACACGGAATAAATATAGATAAAATATTTATTCAATAAAAAAAAAAAGAATTTAAAATTATGATAATAAATTTGGTGGCCATCTTTTGAATAATTAATTACAGATGGGCAGCCACAACTTGGTCTTAAAGTTACGCTTTACTGCCATTTTAGCCATTTTACAACCTCAGCCAACACTTTTTTTTTTTTTTTTTTTTTAATATT